TTGCTCCCGACGCCTTAACTTTACTTGAGTCATGACTCGGCTCGACTGGAGTCACGAAATTCAACACTGGTGAGAATGTATCCCGCATGCGCTATGAACTCCTGGCCTGCAAGGCTGATGATTTAATTATAGGCACGACTGTAATGTGCATCACTCACCACCTCTGTGATGAGAGGAAGAGATCCCAGGTGCCGATACTGGGAAGACAGTTGAGATATAATGATCGATGAGAGGAGGGATGAAAATGGTTACTGATGACGATGATACTGACGATGAATGCAAATAAAAGAATGTTTTTTCCAAAATGATGCTGCAGGCCTGCATCTTAAAACAATCATCACCAGAAAATTATTTCTTACAAACTGACAAATTGAATTTTGATCTCTCCCAACGGAGTGCATGGCCAGACTTGGCAAAGACGTGTTTCGTCTCGAGTCTGATCTTCGACGGGACCACCCAGCCCTCGGTGAGCCATTTGTGTCATATAATTATAACAAATGGTCGGCTAGAAAGTGCTGCCTTAACCTCCTGATCAGGCTAATTGCCTCACCATGTCCAAAGCTTTTTTTTATTTAACGCTCGCGCGGCAGGTCAGACAGTTCAAAGAACCCACATCCCAAAATAGGAAATGGAAATTTCGGTCAAGTTTACTTTCGGAACAGGGAATGTGCACAAAACGCGTGGAAGGATTAATTTGCAGCGATGCTAATTGCTGTAAGTGTTCTGACCCTTTTAGAGCATGGTTTTAGTTCTTTGTAACATTTAAACAAGAACATACATCAACGAGAACTTCTCAATACAATTTGCCTTAACAACAAGGTAATACCGCCACCTAACTGTCAGACGCCATTATAACTTAAGTTCAACAATTGGGCAAAATCAATGATCCAAAGAATTTCAAGAATTTTGGTAAACACATAAAAAATATCAAAACATAAACATAGCGTGCCAGAAATTGTAAACATCGTTTGACATTTACCAGGTAGACACTGAAGAGATCAGGATGGGAAAATCCTTTAGAAACAGGAAGATTGCAGACCCCAGTAAATAATATCCAAGGCCAAGATTTTAGCGCGACTCTTACTCTTTTGTAATGGCTAATTTCAAAACATTAAAACCGCAAGTCATACAATGTACGAGGTTAAGTAACATTGCGACGGCTTTCCAGTGGCGTAACTAGGGGAAAATGTCCCGGGGGTGCACCCAGGGTGCGCAAATTTTTTTCAAGGGGGCACCACAAGAAAATAAGCTGCAGCTGCATAGCCACATTATAGGTATATAGTATATAACTCAAAGCAAATTTCAAAGCGGGGGGAGGGAGGCATCCGCTGGGAGGGACGTGCCCCCCTCCGTATTTACGTCACCAGGCTTTCGGTCGTCAGGCCCCGTATGTCATTATGCTGAAATGAGAAGCTGGCAAACGACATAGACATTTGTGTTATGAGCGGTCTTGAGACTTGCGAGTAAAATTTGGGCAAATGTCAGAAAACACAATGTTGAGCCTTTGTTTAATTCGTATCCAGTCAAGGTAACGGACCGGAAAGAGATGGGTGTAGCCACGAGTGGGTAAAACGTGGCGTGAGAAGAGCCATTATCCGCGCCCACATAATAGGGATAAGTGGCAAAAATGTAGATGTTTTCATGAAGGCGAGGGCAGACCTAGGCCAAAATCATCAGAGATTACAAAACGCCAAACCAACCCCCAGGGTAGCTTACGGGGGAAGGGTGACAGGTCACTTCCAGCCTGAGAAGGATCCTATGGCGACATGGCTTGAGATTGTGCAGGCACACTTTAGAATCGCTCTGACATTGATTGAGTAACCTCGAGGGGAAACATTCTCAGGAAACGGAATAAAACTAAGCAAGTATTTCACGCGGATGAGCATTATCAGCGACGGTGAATTCTTCCTCAGAATTTCACAAATTCCCCTCAACATACGCATTTGAAAATTGCTTTTATAAACCTGCTAAAGAGAGGTTGATTACAAACAATACCATGTATTTTTTTATTTAACTTTGGTAGACCAGCAGAAAATGTATATTTTGATACGTGTGCTGTGATACCCTCTGCCGACACTGGCCACGATCAAACCAAATTATTCAAGCGACTAAAATATTGGGTTTTTTTTAACGATTACGGTAACTTTTCCCGCCAGTACAAAGGTGCCCACATTACGTGTGACAGCTTTGATGCTCGAAACTGCGTAACCATTTAGCGTAGTACCGACAGGCGAGTCCGAGTCCAACGGTGCTGTAAGTGCACCAATGGAGATTTGCTGAGGTTCACTCCAGTCACGTCACATTATTGATTTACAATGTTACGTTCAAATTCGTCCTCTCTCCCCATTTTGTCTGCCAAGAACTCGCTGTCAGCTCATTCCACCCACGCGAGTTAAGTCTATTGCCCGATGCTACAGATTAAAGAGATTAGATGAATATTTCCAGGTGGTCCCCCTCCCTTCTCACCAACCACTCCGGTGACTTAGGAAGGAGTGACTCAGACGAGTCTGGTGTATTCCCTCCGCGGTTATTCACGACAAGCAGCGTGCCGTGCCGCGCCGTCCGGGGACTTTTTGGCATTTTTAGCGGGCATTATAGCGTGCCAAGACGAGAGGGTGTGCGTGACCGGTTAGGCCGACAAGAATCGGGCGCTTTCCCAAGACCACGCGAGACTCTGAAATTGTTTATGAGGCTATGGGACTATTACTCGTCTTTTGTGCGTGATGCAACAAGTGTTTCTTCCTGCCACCCAGAAATTATTCGAATGTTTGGGGAGGGTGGGGTGGGAGTGGGACTCCCATGGTCAGTCATAGCTGGGTAGATTATTTGCCACGGTAAATAGGGCATAACTTAGTCAGCAAAACCAGTTGTCATCCTTTTTGAGAGTGTATAAAATTCTTTTCAAATATACTTCAAAGAACACACAGGCCTAATTACGATCCCCATCAAGTTGTTTATTGTTTTTTTTAAATTACAATCTACGTTCTTATTGCTACACTTCTTACCCCAGATGGGGGGGGCAAACTTCAGGAAGAAAGAAGGACAAACCTTGTTCCAAGACTATATGAAGTGGAAGATCAATTCTGACATGCGGGTGCTTTTCTTATACCTCTTTTCGCGTGCCTAAAACAATTAGGCATACACTCTGCGCTGATGTTTTCTCCGGGATGGCTCAAGTAATTCCTATGGGGTAGAATCTAAAGGGGCGTGGCAAATAAAGATACATGTATCTGTGTCGGCATCACGGGTTGGCAATGAACTGCGGAAGGAGACAGGGCGTTCCGAACTCTGCAGAAGCACGCAAACTTTGGAAAGACTGATGACTGTCTGAAGTCGCACTTTTCTTCCCGACAGAAGTGAAACGTGTTGTAATTTTCCCCTTTTCCACAACGTGTCACAGGGGGAAAAAGTTTTCAAAAAAAACGGATGTGCCGAACCCAAACAAACGATCTGTGACCACATCAACTTCACGGTTATCTTTCAGCGGAAGGCAAAAAGTAATAAAGCAAATTGTAAGGAAGATTTTATTTTTGGGCCAATAAAGAAATCGAAATAAGACATGCACGGGGCTCCTTTTCGCCAAGTTAGTTCAAAAACTACTTTCTTGCCCTGTAGGCTCTATAGTTTGACACCGTTTTGAAATTAGTTTTAGAAAAAAATAGGAAGTAATGCTTAAAGTAAACCTGCCATTTTAATTTTGGGGATTAATTACTTTGATCACCAACATCCACACCCAGAATTTCGTGTGAAATCCTAAACAAGAACGTCTAAGAGCAGGAAATGTTACTCAAATCTCAGTGATTATAGGATTCGTCACTTTATTGGCTCTGGGTAAGAGAGGCGTTCATTGCGGGGTCGCAGTACTTTTGGCAAACACGCAATCTTCTCTTTCCCGGATGAAGATTTGTGTCGTGTTTGGCAGGGCAGAATGACACCTTTTGTTTGATATTATTTAACCTTTTGACCATAACAATAATATCGACTGGGTTTGACTTTCCATCATACGATTGGTTCATGAAAAGTTGATGCAGACTAAAATCACAGGCCAAAATCTAGATCAGGGGTTACTGTGGTTTTAATAAAGGGTACATATAGAAAATTGACATGGATGCTCATTTGAACATTGCGCTTTGGAGTTAGCAATGAAGAAGCTGTATGTTGACGTTTAGTGCTCGTGGTTTTTTCTCTCGATACCATAAACATGGAGCACGAGTAACGATCCACACCGGAAAAGCGTGCAATTCTGTTAATAAAGAGCGAAGGCCGTGTGGAGTAAGGGGCCACTCAAATTTTCAATGTTTTTTAAGTTTTGACTTACCCACCCACTATTTCGAAAAAAGTCGAAATTTAAAAAACATTGAAAATTTTGAGATATTATTTTGTCAATTACGTCACCATGTGCACTTTCCATTGTACATTTATGTTACTTCATTCTCATCCCTGCCCGACCCTCATTTTCACTGTTTATCTTCAACACCGACACATCCTTGTGGAACATTAACGTATACAGTGAAAATATATACATATACATACAGTTCACTGCAGAAAATGGATACAGACCTACCTCTCCTGACGTAAAAGGAAATTTACTCAAAGAGGGAAAATATACCTCATCGATTTGATCAGAGGCTCACGTCGAGGCAGCATATCAGAGTTCATTGTTGCTGCACTAAAGACAACCCTGCATTCTCTGCGGTGGCTTAAAATTGCGGCTTAGGCTCAGGACAGAGGTGGGCTTAAAGGGAGGATGCACGCCTCTACATAAAAACTGCTTTTCAGAAAACTTCAGGCCGGTTCATATTTAGCTTGAAAGGAGCACAAACACGATTTTGTTAAGTCAGCCATGAATACTAGCATTCGAATTAGCAAAAGTTGAACACATTTCAACTCAAGTGAATTTCACGGAAAACATCTAGTGACGTCAAACTCGCTTCGCTTTTGCATGCGCTTGAAGTTCGAACAGTCGTTTGCTTATGTGCTCGAACGTAAAGCGAACGTACCTGCATGAGGTGGTGCAAGAACTGTGTAACTACGCGGTGGTTCCTGGAGCTGTTTCCGGTAATTTGGTGCGCATTGGGCAGCGGCTAGTTTCTCCTGCTCGCATACATGTCTGTAGAGTACAGAGGAAAGGCGGACAATTCTAATATAAAAGCTAGCTTAAAAGAAAACATTGAACTTTTGCTGTGAAATGAAAACAGAAAAGAATGGAATTGTGAACAAGAAATCGTGTCTGTGCGGAAGATTATTGAGGGTTGTTTTCTGTTACATTCTTAGACAAGGCACGATTTAATTGTCCCATGCTTTATTGAGGAATGCTACTCGGTGTTTTCGACGCAATCCCTTTCATGTAACAACGCACTCTACGTAGGTCAGAATGTTTATCACTCTGGTAACTTTCCACCGTCATGATGTCAAAACTTGACACCGAGCTAGCCAGATTAAAGTTGGCAGACCAAAGATTCCCATTTAGCCCCTGTAACTTAATTTGCAGACAGCGTAACCAGATTATATGCGACTTCTTACTGGTTTCTTATGTGTCGTTTTTTTCCATTGCCTCCGGTCTGTATAGTCGATACTGCTTTTCGTTATTGCAACAGTTCCTTTTTCTCAAACACGGAAAAGGAAAACAGGAGTCTATAAACAAAGTGAAATGCAATCGACTCCAAACTTTGCGAATGAAGAGGGTCACATTTTCCCAAGGGATGGAATTTTAGAGTGGGTTAGGTTTTATGTGTTTGGAAAATCCTCGGTGTGAAAGATTTGGACTTTGGAGAGAGACAGACGGCGAGAGAGAGGGAACATGATATCACCCTCCTCAGTGTTCGGACTGGCATCCAATGTGGCTTATCGACTGTGTATGATCACAGGCGGAATATCCAATTTAAATGGTCATCAACGGATTTTGCTTTGCAAGCTGATAACTGGTTGATTGATCCAACAGAACTTACCGAATGCGTGACCAGATTAAAGTTGTGGTAAGGTAGTTGTCTCATGTACACTATAACCTCGCTTTATTGACAGTAATAATAAAGTCCGCGTACCCTTTTCTGTTTTAAAAGCACAAGAATCTTAGAAATGTCTTTTGTGTTTCTATGAACAAGTATACAGTTTCTTTTCCAATGCAGTTTATTTTGATGGATAAACAGATCAATTTGTCAAGCGAGAAAGTATTCATCGTGCACCCCAGAACAGTCGAAGCATCATTACGTGACGATAACGGGGGACCCAGGCTACGTTCATTGGGGTGGGGCATAGGTGTCATGGGGGCCCTTTTCCTTCCCTCCGAAAAATGTGAAAAAAATCGCTAGTTTCCACAAAAAGCTTCGAAAATAGCCACATCTTATATTATTGAAACTTTGCAAGTTTACCAATGTTGATTGATTTCCCCTTGGAAAGAATTATGTGCTTCCACGAGGACGTCAGTCGCATGGGAGGAGTATAACACGAAGGGAATGCATATGTAACACACATCTATCACTATTTATTGCTTTTATATTCCAAGTTTAACGCCCCAGGGCAGGGCTAAAAACACCCCCATACCCTGCATATGCACCAGCGTCAGTTACGCTCTCAAAGTAAATGCAAAAAGAACATTCCTCCATGGTTTAACGATTTGAAATCACGCTGAAAGGTGATTACCTGTAGCAAATATAATGCAACGATAATGCCCTCCGGCATACAAAATGTCCATGTGAAGTACCAGACTCCCCGCATGCTCATAATTACTATGTGCAAACCTTGTAACTGCATGTACATGAATGACGTCATGGGTAAACAACCGCTGGCGGTCATCAGTCGACCTTTGGACAACAAACATCGCGTGCGAACGGCGTGGCAAATCCTCCAACGACGGCAACCGGTCAACGAGCGCTGTCCTCCGACAGACTCGCCCTGGCTTGAGCATCTATTGACGTCCTCATGCTTTTCACACTTCTCCTTTCTCCTTCACTTTGCATGAAAAAAATCCAATAGTACACTTAATGCCTCCAGGCAGAAAGGGGCTTTGTGGTGGAAAAAAGGCATCCCCGTGTGGGGAAAGTAATTGCCAGGACGGGGAAATTGTGAAGGCCTGTCGTTTATACCTGTTTGGGACGGAAATGTTCATCGTAGGCACACTGACAGAAAACGCACTCTGATTAGAAATGAAGACAGCCAATCGTGACAAATTCGGCAAAAGATAACTTTGGTGCTTCACCATTTTATTGTGCATACTTATTGCAATTTCGAACGAAACATTTCTGGCTTTGAATGACTTCACACTAGAGCATTTATCGAAATGTACATGTATTTGATGTGAAAGCACGTTAGCAAAACATACCATGAACGAATGTATCTCTCGGGAAAACTCGGCAAGTTGATTGGGGATGGATTTGAATGAGGAGGGCCAACGACTAAGTTGTCGGAAATGTATACGGGCAGCAAAATCTTTGTTTAGTACAGCCGAACCAAGGAGCGTTTCGTGACAGTTCAAACGAGAGTAAGTGTTCAATTTATACCTGGATATGCTTTAATGGTTATCAAAATATATAGGTTTCTATAAATACGATACACCAGCAACTGTTTTGTTCATTAAAATATTCAGTTTACAAATTCGTATCAAAGCCAACCAAGTCTTGACCACTCGAACAGATAATTAACAATTTTAGAATATTTCTAGGATTTTCCAAACAACAATTTACAAAATTTGGTGCATGAATATATTTCTATTTCAATCAAAACAACTTCGAAACCACAGCCAACCAACCCTTTATAAGTTAAACTGCTCAAATTTTAAAGACCAATATTAAGTTGTTTTTTTTTTAATGGCAAACGCTTAAGGACAGTCTTGGTGAAACAAAACCGACCGACCGACCAACCAAACAAACAAACAAACAAACAAAATAAAGACAAAAAACTGAACCAAAAAAATTCATTATTTTTAATGGTTGAGTGGCAGTGGATCGAATAAATTCGACCTTTAAATCCCTTAAAGTCATTCACCTCCTCAGAAGGCAAAAGAAGAAGGGTTCAAGCTCCTCAATTTACTAAAGCAAGAGAACATTTTAGAAAATGAAATTTAAATATCACTGCAGGATACATTTCAGATAAACAAAAAACCTACACTGGGGTTAGGTGACATTAGAAAAAAATGGCATTAAAATTTTTTATCACAATAACATCAAAGTAAACGAAGCAGATTTATGAAAGTATGCAGCGCCTTTAACTGTGTCCTTCTCGATATCGCTACGATACTCAAGTGTAGTGTATAATGACAATAGGTGCTCTCATGTTAATGAAACAGTCAAAAAAGAGCAACCGGCCACAGGTTTCGTCTGGTGCAGGAATGAACAGACAAGGGCAACACCTTTGCATGTTTCATTTTTGGTATGGCTCAGGTTAATTTCTTTTGAATGGTCGTTTGCGTGCTTTTGGAAAAAACCCACATTTACTTGCACGTCCATATAGAGTTAAATACTCAGAAAGCCCCGAACTGTAAATACATTAGTTCGAGGGTCCCTTTTCTCGCAGTTTGATTCTCATCTGGTAGGGTAATGGACGCTGTGCCAGTCCAGGGATGCAACTTGTGCTCGGTCTCTCCCCATTTGGAATTTCCAGCCTGCATTTCTGCATCAGTGTTGTGAAGTACAGGAACATCTCAATCCTGCCCAGCTCTGAGCCCAGGCACCTTCGTCGACCCGCTCCGAACGGCAAGATGCTGGCCGTTTTCTCTGGGTCAAGACGGCCGTCCCCGGTCAGGAACCGTCGGGGGTTGAACTCCTGAGGGCCGGTCCAGATCTTGGGGTCTTGGTTGATGGAGTACAGGTTGACAAAGATGACAGTGCCCTTGGGAATGAGGTAGCCGTTCAGTTGGGTTTCTCGCGTCGTGCTGTGTGGAATGGTGAAGGGCACGACGCTGGAGAAACGGAGCACCTCATACAGGCAAGCTTCGGTCAGCGGTAATTTGCCACGGTCGGTCAGCTGCGGTAACATGTCCTTCCCAATAACTGTATCAATCTCCTCCTGTATGTCCCGCTGAATCTCCGGGTGCAAGATCACGAGGAGAATAGCCCAAGTCAGAACGGCCGACACGGTGTCGAACCCGGCTCCGAATAAGTCGTACACGGTCGTCTGTAACATCTCCCGGGTCAAATTCAGCTGCTCCAGCTCCTCCTCGTCTATTTTGTTCCCCACCGTAATCAGGTAGTCCAAGATGTCCTTCTCCGAATCTTCCTGATAGGCCTCGCGATGCTGGTTTATGTACCCGCCGAACCAATCCTTAAAATTCAGCAGAAGTCGTCGGAAATTTTGCATAGTTTTGGTTGGTAGATACTTCAACCATGGCATAAAGTCCATCGTGTTTCCGCTCGAGGCTGCGGCGCCAAAGTCGTCGCTCATAGCTGAGAATTCTGTCAGCCTAGGATCATCTAATTTGTGCCGTCTGCTGAAGATGTAGGAACACATGATGTTACTGACAGACAGTTTGAGCACAATCGATGGGTCAACGACGGTACTACCAGAATTGTTATTCGTCCAGGTGCTGATGAGTTCCTGAACTTCAAACAGGACTTTGTCCTGCACCGACTTCGACTGCTGGCCCGAGGTAAAATGTCTCAGGGCCGTCTCAGCAATCTTGCGGTGCAATTTCCAGGCAGGGCTGTAGTCAGAGAAAGTCATACTTGCGCCATTGATCTCTTTCATGACCTGCGAGGAAATAAAATCTGGCCGGCCGGCGAAGTCTGTGGACTGTTTGACCAAAGCCTGCTTGATGGTCTCTATGCCATTGAGAACCACGACCGGCCGGCTGCCTATCCGTATCTGGTAAACATCGCCGTACTTCTGGGCCAGTTGGTAAAGGCTGACGTGCAAAGTTTCGCCCAGGTCCAGGATATTCCCAAGGATGGGCAGTCCGCGAGGCCCCGGCAACGTCTTGCCGGAGTTGGACATCTTTGTGAAAGGATGATACTTGAAAGTTCGTCTTGTTTGTTTGAAGGGAAAAGATGGTTATGGAGGACGCACGCTGTCTTGTATCCGGTTGAATAACAGACGTTGTCTTTTGTACTTCAGAAAAGTTTGCACGCGATGTGGTTGTGCGGATCGATGCACGCGGTGATTAGTCCATGTGAGCGTGGCTGAATATCGAACAGGAGCTGAACCAGTCCGTTCTGGTCACGCACGTTATATCGTACTCCTTTAGGTTATTGATCTAGGTGATACCGTGAATTGTTCTCATGCCTTTGTGGCTCGTCTCTTCATCACTGTCTGAGTATAGTGCTCTTCCATTCAGAGAGAGATCCTTAAGTGCTCCCAACAAACTCAACTTACGAAGATTTCCAAAGAACACATCGACTCTCGGCTCGATACTCACATATTTATAGCAAACGTGCCCCTCTCGGAAAAGGGAATCCCATAACATAAACACGGGCTAGGTTGCAGGTGCTGGTAATCCGGCTCTGTAATTGGCTAAAAACCGTGCGCACAAAGTCACTACCCTACCGAGTGATTAGCACTGTCAAGCTACGTTGAATGGGCGGTGCAAATGCTCTACAATTTCATCCAAGGCAATGGGCTGTGATACTCGATTAAGTGCGGCCGAGTCACCAACTTGATCACCACAGCGTAAGGCCGGGGAAGCTAGATCAATGATCGACATACTCCTTGCACCTCATAACTTTCTCCCATCTACAAAGTTCCCACACAACAGGCTGCCTGTGACGTGATAGATTGCGGATCGTTCGCGCTCAGGTTGTGCGTTCCCCATAGAGCGGCAAATTGAGCCCTACGGTAGCAATGAATCAGTTATTGGTTGTAATAAACGTGATATATATCCTAAGTGATATAAATACTCGTTGTGTGGGTCGATGGTTGTCACTGTTGCGCAAATCAGGCCAAGCCCTTTGAGATTATCGTTGGGTGCTAAATGCAATGACTTTATGGACGTGGTCACGAAAAATAACTGTAATAATGACTTACGTGTTGAACGTGTTCTGAGCAAGAACTGGCAAAGGGAATGAAATGAATAAGTTCACTCAACTTCACTGTCCTCTATAATTCTAAAATCGAAAATAAATGCAAGGGTTGCGAGACTGATAAACTAAACTAAAATGATTTCATTAACGGACAATTACTGACAAGGAGCTTCAAAAAACGAGTGATCACAATTTGCTTTCCAGTGTTAAGTTACTGGGTGCAGGTCAGTGAAAGCGGAAAGTCATGGAGTATAATAACAGATGTGGTTAATGCAATTATGTCCCATCACTGTCACGTTTCTCAACAACAAAACTTTTTTAGACTTTCGAATTGTCTTAAAAGCACCGCGTACGATGGGAATAGTGTAAGGTTCCGTACAATGTCACCAAAGTGAAATATATGTTTTGGAAAATGCATGTGCACGTCATAATTGCTTCAAAGACTGACCTGAAGTGCACAATTCAGTCATAAAATCTCTGTAGCATTATAAAGCATCTTCTATTTCAGACTCGAAAGGAGTCTTTCTCAAAGGCAAAATCTTTAAACAGACAAATTGGGTTGGGCCCCTCTCTCTAACGTAATGTTATGATGTACTATGCGATCAGTAGGCTACTTTAACCAGAAAAGTTTTAAGGTTTCTCAAGCTTAACCCGCGTGTATGGGACTCAACCTTTCGAAAATTTTAGCGCAAAATCCCGTACATTTTAAAAACTCAACGAAAAGGTCTTCTTTTTCGCATTTTAAACACAAGCTTTCACATCGCTTAATGAATATCTGTACCATTTTAATACCCTTTTCAGCATTCTTTATATAACAGTTTTCTCCGAGGACGCACAAAGTCGTCGAGAGGACTCTCATCTCATCAACGCTTTTTACTGATACCCAACGATTTCCAAGCCGTCAGTTCCTGTGCCTTGTCAGCTATGGTCAGCGGGAGAGATCTCATATCAGACGAAGCCAAACGATGAGGGACTAGCTGGAGTGGGTTCGCACGCAATGGTCATTTGTAATCACGCAAGTCGATAAGGGAAAATTACATCACGAATACGCGCTAACTCTTACGCAAGGGATGGACCAATCAGCTACTGAGACCACATGGAACTGATATGTTAAACAAATTATCAATGCTATCTGTATGTTTCTGAATCACAGCTCCGTTCACCGGATTCTGTAGAATAACCTTACGTAACAAGATTCCAACCACAGCTGAGCCAATCATTCTATAAATCAATAAGAAAACAAGAACTCGTTAGCGCAAAGCAAACCCACGACTACCGTTTAAAAATGTAATATTCTTATTTCTTTACGAAAAAAAATTATGGTCCGTAATCAATCCCGATGACATAACCTGAACTTTCATCATTCATCAACAGAAAGTTGAATTTTCATCAATTGTTAATAGACGCAGTGGATAATTGTCAAAAGACTTTTGTACTGTCACTGCTGCATTTAACGCCCATCTATGGCACAAGAACGAAAGCAATAGATAAACTCTGTCGCCTTAACTTTCGCAAGTTCATTCCTCCATATGATGTTATATAAATAGCGCCACCACAGTTTATGATTAAATTTAATTTCTTAAATAGTATTAAGCGAACCCATTGTACCCGCCCATAGGTCCATATTGACACGATTAGATATTGTACCCTAATAACAGGGCTAAACCCTCCGATTTCAGTGTGATTCTGCGTACTCTAGGGAGATCAGGTTAATAATGATTACTACAGAGTGGAACAAGTAGAATGGCTTGCCTCTGTACGTCAATCACACATTTTACAGGCCTGTAAATCTTTGGGAAAAGGAAAATTTGTACTGCTGTTGTGCAGATGATTAACCAATACAGACAAATAATTTACATCTAAAATGAAATGTGTCACGAGTCTTTTTAAGGGAGGTCCAGGTGTATGACGAGTGCACTGATTTTATTTTACGATGACACAGAAAAAGATCGACAAACTACAAGTACCAAAAAGGAATAATTTGCTTGTATTCATTTTGTTCATTTGTGAATACCGAAATGCGAATGGGTATGCAAAATGTCGTACTTTAGATGTTTATGAATTGTTAGGCGTCGGTTACATCCTTCCCTCGTCTGTATTAGATACACTGAGTATGTAGTACCAGAATGCAACATTGAAATCAAGCTGAAATTGGGGTACAGGAAAGGTCAGAGACACGCACACATATTACCCCAGACGTATAAGATCTGATCGCGTCAGACAAAATATGACACGATCAAAATCGTGGGCTTGTCGCATCAGATATCTGTTTATAAATTACCACAGTGACGGGGAACACTCGTGGGGTAAAACACAAAGTCGATCATTGCCGAGACTGTCATGACACTTTATTTCTGTCACACCATTCCTGCCAGAGTAAAGGTTAAGATAAAGGTGAGCGCGTCTCTTGAAAGTGATTAGGCCTACACGTCGATTGTGTGCCATGAATAGTCAAGAAATTTCGGCATGAGCTAGAGTTCAAGTCTGCAGAGGACCTGAAGCGACGACTCTCTTAAAAATGAAACTTTGTTTCCAAACGCATTTAATATGATGCAGTGACGGAGAAATTGTGTTTCAATGGTCACAGTCTCGCTTGTTTTTTGCCGACATTAACGAGACCCTGGTAATAAATTTTGCTCAGAAAGGACCTTGGCATGTTGCTTGGCAATAGTCGATATTTCACGTGTGGATACATTCCACCAACGAGACTACCGATGGAACCCTAGAACAAGTGGTTGTAGGGCTCGTCCCATCACAAAATCAAAACATAAGTAACATTTGACGACAGGTTGCATTAACAGCCCCTCACTATAATAGAATAAAATGTTCATAAAAATGGACAACCGACTAACCTCAGAAATGTAATTTAGTTTGATTGCGATGGCAAATTACATATCACTTTACCAGCACCTGAATTTTACAACATGTACCCAAAAACTTTGTTTCATGCTCGGCCTGAAGTGCACCCAGCGCTACCCGTTTGAAGGTACGTCTTAGTAGCCCCCCTTCCGACTTGCCGGCTTTGCGTGCCAAGACCTTCATCCTTGGCGTATGTTTTTCAACATCCTTGGGTGGACAAGGGGGAGAGGAATGCATAGCTTGGGGCGGCGGAGGAGGGAACAAAACCCGAACGCAAACACCACCCCCGAATCTACACAATGCTCTTCAAACATATGCATCTGTATTAGCGCAACAGGTGAATGGGCAGAAAGGGGTGGACAAACAAGGACTTGTAAGCGCCACTAACAGAACCTGTTTATCCCCAACAGAGGCGAACTGTCCTTGCGTTTGTCTGCCGATCGCGGTAATCGTTTCGTCGAGAACACTGCAATATTATTGTGCCTGGACTAGGCTTGCCAGCTCCCTTGAGAATTGACAACCGTTGCCAACTTGATTAGCGCAGAAACGAAGGATCGATGACCGACATTCCGGGAACCTCAAATCAAGTAGTCTGGATACCAGACCCAATGATTCTGACTATTCTACAAATCAAAGGAGCACCCATGTTAATAAATTCCCTTAGACAACAATGATAAATCCTTTTATTTTAAAATTACTTAAAAATACAACTCTTACAGGCAAAATGTTGTTTGACATGTCCTTTTTAATTTTCCTTTCAATTTCTAGTGGTGTTGACAGATGAGTTTTGGGGAAATTCTCACCCGAAGCAGACCACCCCTAAAATGAAGAAAATTTCACTGCCCGGAAAAGAAACCGTTTTGCAAAGGCACCCCTCTGCAAAACGGCTAAATAGTACCACTTTTGGACCCGATTGCATCCAAATTACTCAGAATTGGAAGCCCTGAGACCAGGCCAGAGGTTCAGTACCATATTTCTTCAATTCCCCGAGTCCATGTCTGTCAGGACTCTCTCATACAGAATATTTTGAGTGTAAAACGTTTACTAATGAGCTCAGCGGATATATTTCTGGCCCGTTTACGTGGGTGTACCCTCAAGGGTCCGGTATCACCCAATGTGTCCACGTGACCAAGACTGGAGGAAGTCCTCCAACTTTCTGGAAATATTCCGAAGTCGTCCCGTCTAATATTGGGCTTGTTCGG